GGGAACCAACAAAAATGACCTCCCTTTTCTAGGAGTGGTTCTTAGCATTCCCTATAAGGTTATCTGTGCATAAAGAATACACAGCTTGTGGCAAGTTGTACATTGTATTTATGCCTAAAAACTAATCCTTTCTGTGTTTATTATAATTAGGCTGTTTAAGAATAATGAGTTTATGAATAATGAGTTCAGGGTTACTCTTATTGCCAAAACCAATCTGTATACTCTTTGTTGAGTCTTTACCTTGTACAACGTAATTTTAGTCTCTCCCATGTATTACACCAATCCTTTTTTGTGCAGTGGCGGGAACCCAGGGTTCTAAAGAGGCAACATGGGACCAGGGCCTAAATGTCCTAAATTCCAGGGTTGGCAAACTGTTTATGTTTCACTAACGTATCATTTAAAAAAAAATGTATAAGCTTGAAACAAATAAAACAAAAGAGAATTTTACTTTTAATTATTTATATAATGCAGTTATATCTTTTACATGATGGTACCAATTTTTTTGTGGCTAGTTCTTAGGTGGTAAGAAGGACCTAAGGGCAATGAATTTTTAATCTGATCCTGATGTTGCCACCATTTATATACCTATATACACATACTGTATACCACGCGTATACAGTAAATCCTCTAATATTCCCTTTGAAAACAAAATAACAGTTTAAACAGGAAACTTTAGGCTACAGTGTAAAATATTCAACCTGTCCAGCACTCTTTTCTTCTAATGATAGTGACCAGTGGATGTCTACTTGGCACCATGAACAGCCTAATTTTGGTTTGATCTGTGTAAAATGATAGATGTGGAACAAATGGTGCTCAAGGTCTACTGCTTCCAAAGTCTACACACATACTAGATTTCACATTACAAATCAACACAGGCCAGTTACATTATATGTTGTGTGCATTGTGTATAGAGCAGCAGGTGTTCTCAGCTGAAGAGGGAGCATGTGATTGGATCAAGTGGCACTCGCACCCCAATCACATGCTGCCTTCTTGGTTATAAATGCTCACTGTTATAGACTCTTCTGGCTAAATTAAATTAATGGCATTGGCTCAATTAAATGAGCATCTAGAAGTAAAAAATGAAACATTTAATGCAATGTTTCTGGTCTAACAAAAGGTTGCTGAACCTTCTTTGTCTGCAAAATGACTTTCCTTTTAAACTTTCATGGAGATGCCAGGAATTTTTAATCAGCCTTTCATTTAATGTTAGCTGCTTTTATACTATCCAGGCTCACTTCATGCTGTTAACTTCTTTTATGCGCATGCAAAAAGCAGTGTAGTAAAAAGCTGAAATGTAGATGTATGAATATTACACATGAAGTAGAGATCATGATAATGCCCTCTTACACCTTATTCATGGCATGAATGAATGCAAATTGAGTGATGTTTTAGAAGAAGGAAGGAACGTTACTATTCATTAGTGGTGATAAAAGCCATAAAGCAATATATAGTAATATAAGGCAAGATACAATTAATGTTACATAGGACTGTCTTACTTTACCCAATATATGTATTTCAGTCAACAAGTGTACAAGGTTTGCACAGAGATGATCTCTTAAACTGGAAAGCGGGCAGGTACTTAAATATGTGTTTTGTTAGGAATTTACATTATTAAACAAACATAATTCAAAACTCCAATATCAAATCCTTTGCATCCCGCTCCAGGTGAGATAAGGCTCCACACTCCACCATTGCATCTCAGGTGCTGGCTGGGCTTGTTCCCACCAAAGCAATCAGTTGTACCAGCAACAGCAATGACGCACACGGAGATGCAAAAAAATATTCTTCTTTAATTAAAGAAGCCAACAGAAACAGGTTCTATCCCGACATATTTCACGCTAGACACAGGCCTTTTTTTTTTTTTTTTTAAAGTGCCATTCCAAGGGCAAAACATGTCAGAATAGAATATTTTCCTGCTGGCAATTTTTATAAAGGAAAAAATATATTTTGCATCTCAGTGTGCTCCATTCTTGTTGCTGGAGCAATTAGTAATGCAAGGCATGTTGTATCATCAGAAAAGTCACATGTCTATTTATAGCCATCAGCCTAGGAAAGTGCATGGGTACAAAAGAATATACAAATAAGTTATACTGTATAGACATCCACCATTTTGGGACCCTGAAGGCTGTCTTTGTCAAGGTGAAAGGAAGGAGCCCAAACCATACTGGTTCTGTTTATATAGGAGTACTAGCAGTCATTCATATCTTGACTTTGTGAACCATGTATGGTAACCAGGGGCACTGCCCCGAGGGCCCGGGGTCAGTAGTGGGCTCCATGAGATTCCCCTGGTACCTTTTTCATAGGCTTTTTTGAGTTTGGGCATGGACACAGGGCCCATGATCCCCTATTGCCCAGGGGCCCCATGAGTTTTCAGTCCGCCCCTGATGGTAACTATCCTTCAACTACTGTATTGTTACTATACTTTACTACCCCACAATTTTCAGACATTTTGGTGTCCCATATAGTAAATAATATTAATATGTCACCTGCCCTCATTTCTTGAATTATGCCACCATGTTGATTGTTTCATGCTGCCTGTTGTTCCTGTAGTAGCCAAAAGAGTCCATAGGAAGAATTGGGGAGTATTACAGATGTAGGCCCCTCTCCACTCTCTGCATGGCACTGCCTTTGTTGGGTACACTCAAGTTTATACTGTATACAGTATATTAAAACTGTGCATTAAACTAGACTGCCTTTGGTCTGACCACAAACCTACCCTCCCATACAGGCATAACCTGTTCTTCAGTAACAAAGACAGGTACACACTGCCAGCAATGGAAAAGAAGATTGGTACCAATTCTCAGATTTGAAAAGGTCCAAAAGTCAAGCTGTACTTTGCCAACAGCTCAGACAAACATACCAATGTTGCAGGTATACTGTAAAATGGAGGTCAAATTAGCTACAAATAGAATTTAGAAGGAAGTCCATGATAATTTACATGATAATATAATGAGAGGCATCTCACATTTTTCAAAGATAGCATTAACATAATACATAGATGATAAATACGTGAAGGAAATAGGCTGCTTAATTCAATGCAAGATTTTCCAAGTTTGGTGTGTTGATGGTGTAACTTCCATCAAACTCCTTGTTATGGAACTCTGTACTGACTTTAACCCGCAGTCTATCCTCACAGACAAATCTTTATGACCCAAATCATGACACTGAAGGTAATTTACTATAGGAGTAGTGGCTGTTCACTTTGAAATGTGAATGCTTACTGGTCTTAGTAAATAAGGTGATCGCTTTAATCAACCAGTTATGTCCTAGCAAAAATTGTGATTTATGTAAACATTTTTTTTGCACTTACATGTGACTGAATATATATATACACTGCTCAAAAAATTAAAGGAACACTTTTTAATCAGAGTAGAGCATCAAGTCAATTAAACTCCTGGGATATTGATTTGGTCAGATAAGTCACAGAGGGGGTTGTTAATCAGTTTCAGCGGCTTTGGTGTTAATTAAAGTACCAGCAGGTGCACTAGATGGGCAACAATGAGATGACCCCCAAAACAGGATTGGTTTTACAGGTGGAGGCCACTGACTTTTTTTTCCCTACTCATTGTTTCTGACTAGTTTTGCATTTGGTTAGGGTCAGTGTCACTACTGGTAGCATGAGGCAAAACCTGGACCCTACAGAGGTTGCACAGACAGTTCAACTCCTCCAGGATGGCACATCAATATGTACCATTGCCAGAAGGTTTGCTGTGTCTCCCAGCACAGTCTCCAGAGCATGTAGGAGATTCCAGAAGACAGGCAGTTACTCTAGGAGAACTGGACAGGGCCGTAGAAGGTCCTTAACCTATCAGCAGGACCAGTATCTGCTCCTCTGTGCAAGGAGGAACAGGATGAGCACTGCTAGAGCCCTATAAAATGACCTCCAGCATGCCACTGGTGTGAATGTCTCTGACCAAACAATCAAAAACAGACTTCATGAGGGTAGTCTGAGGGCCCAACATCCTCTAGTGGGCCCTGTGCTCACTGCTTAGCACCATATAGCTTGATTTGCATTTGCCATTGAACACCAGAATTGGCAGGTCCACCACAGCCACCCTGTGTTTTTCACACTTGAGAGTAGGTTCACCCTGAGCACATGTGACAGACGTGAAAGGGTCTGGAGAACATTATGCTGCCTGTAACATTGTTCAGCATGACTGTTTTGGTGGTGGGTCAGTGATGGTCTGGGGAGGCATATCCATGGAGTAACGCACAGACCTCTACAGGCTAGACAATGGCAAACTGACTGCCATTAGGTATTGGGATAAAATCCTTGGACCCATTGTCAGTCCCTACCCAGTGGGTGCTGGTTTCCTCTGGTGCATGACAATGCCCGGCCTCATTGGTGAGAGTATGCAGGCAGTTCCTGGAGGATGAAGGAATTGATACCATTAAATGGTATGTTTAATCTAGCCCATATCACTATAGATATCCTGCATGATATTTTTCCCCACTGAGATCTGATGTGTTTTCAAAGTGTTCCTTTAATTTTTTTGAGCAGTGTATATATATATATATATATATATATATATATATACATACACATGACTATTATCTATCTACTAGTCAATCACCAGACCTTATTCATTGCACAGTACAGAGAACAGTGGAATCGGCAAATTAGAGATCAGCTTTAATCATTTTCACATATTGTTGAAAGCTGATCCATAATCCATAATCCTCTGCTGGGTTTTTGTATTCTTCTCTGTTATTACAAAAGCTTACTGATGGAAATAGATGCTTAGTAGCAATCTGTATTCAATGTAACGTGGTAGGATAAACCCTTTTACTGATAATATAATATTATGTTATGTAACACGTCTATCCTACATCAACACTGTAATTATGTTAAACATTCATAAGTGCAGAATTTGGCCAATAGTACCTCTAGAAATAACCGATCATGTATAAACTCTGGGACAAGCATGGATACCGTCTGTTCACCATTTCCCATTGTTTTATTGTCTGTACAGTAACTGTTCCTTTTATTCTGACCACAGAGAATGCCACCACTCAGCCCAGAGAAGCCCACTCTATGTGCAGGATGTGGAGGAAAAATTTCTGACAGATATTACCTCTTGGCTGTAGACAAGCAATGGCATCTACGCTGCCTGAAATGCTGTGAATGTAAACTGGCCTTGGAGTCAGAACTGACTTGTTTCGCAAAAGATGGAAGTATATACTGCAAAGAAGATTATTACAGGTACATTATGGAGTATATTGTGCTTTCAGATACCTGTGTGAAATATGTCTTGGAGTTTGTACAAACAAATCCATGTTGCCACATACCAGTGAATACATGATAATAGGATTTATACTAAAACAGTGTCACACATCAGTGCTTTGTGCTCCATATATAGCACCCAGCTACCTTTAAAGTTGCTTACAGCAGCCTTGCAGCAGGTTCTCAGTACCTGTCTCTCCTAACAAGCAATACATGCGCATGCTCCAGAACACAAAGCCATGTCCAGGTTGTCTAATTTAAATAATTATTAGTAGAGGTTTTTGCTGTTGTTTTTTTTTTGTTCATACTTAGATTGGCTGATTATCATCTCCTTTATATAAAGCTTGTTGTCAGGCAGATAATAAAAAACATCAATGAATGCAATATTGACAAAAAAAATGACATGCATGTTTAAATTCAGCTAGTAGAAGGAGGACCAGCACTAGGACCCATTGGAGTCTTACTGCAATGAGCATGTGCTGACATACTGACAGAAGGAAAGAGCAGAGTAATGACCTTATCACTGTGCTCCTCCTCTTTCATTGTCAAATCAGCCGGGGTGTTCCTTGGCTCTACTGTAGCGGTGTAACTGTAATGGAGCCCCCATGCTTTGTTATGTTGCCGTGCAATGCTGTCTGGTAGTTGAGCTAGATCACAAAACTGACTAAATAGAATTACATATCCTTTGGCAGAAGAAAAAACATCTCCTGTATTTGTATTTCAACTACATACAACAACTACAATGTACTTAGATGCTTGCATGGACTTCAGATTCAGAAGATTGAGGATCTCTTCATTAAAACATAAATCAATTTTAGCTACTCCTATTATATTGCAGTTCCACATTTTTCTTCTTGCTCCTATACAGTGGGGACAGTCCTAACACGCACATCTCTATAAACAGATCAAATTTATCAAATTTTCTGTATCATCGTTTTTCTATTACATGTGTTTTACCAAAGCACAAATGAAATGCCCCACTTGCTTGACTCTCATGAGTGCATTGTGATTCCTCTAGGCCTTAATTTACAGCAGAGTATGAATTTATTACTGGGAGATTCTGTATCATTATCAACAAAAATACCCTTCAAATTCAGAGAGACTAACAGTAAGCATCTCAGCGCTGAAAATCCAGAGGTATGCACTCTGCACCTCCACCTGAAATTAGAAAATGTAAAGAGTTGGTGGTTGGGTACTGGCCTATTAGAAGGATCAGTGGCTATGTTATATCTGTATGCCCTTGCAGAGTTATACATTTAAGGGTTACATCTACTCTCAGGTCAGCAAGGCTAGATAAAGAGATCTATAACTACATAAATAGCTCACAAGTGTCATCTTGCGGCAAACCTGTGCTACTCTATTTCAGTAAAAGCACAAAGGCTCAATAAAGGCCAAATCTTGAAAAGAGAACAGAACTTACTAAAGGAGTGGAGGCTATTCACTTATCAAAGAGAATGTTTTACTTGTTTATTGAATAAGAAGAACCTGTGCTTGCTTTGAATACTCACATATGCTGGAAATGAAAACAAAAATAGAAAATGTTTCTAGCATATGATTGGTTATTCAAATGAACACAACTTCACAGTATTCATTAACATCCCTTTTTCAAAATAAACTTTTACCTTGACAAGTTAACATTCGCTTTGCTAAGTGAACAGTCTGTACTCTAGTAGATCAACCCCATTGAGTAGAGCAGGGTAGGGAAGTCTATTAGTTTCAATATGACTCATTTCTATGCTTTCATTCCAGTTTCAAATGTTCCACGCTGAGCACTTCAAAGTCCTATCCTCATATATTCACTGTTTGTGCATGGGTTGGATTGTGCATACATGATCTGACAGACAACTTTCCAATGAATAAAGTGTATATAAACATGCATACTCATATCTTCCCCTTGAATTATGTATACATAAACTGTGCATGTTTATAGACTGAGCAGACACTCATAATGTCTGAAATCAAAGAACAGAAGAAAGACATATTAACATACTTAATTCACTTTATTTTCTTAAATTAAGGACGCTGTAAAATGAATTCAATTTGTGTAAATACCAATATAAATAGAAAATCATTTTCATTTGTTTTTCTTTTGAATAAAATCCAATGCAAAATAATAAAACATGGGCTCTTGCGTGCAGCTAGAAAAAAAAGGACAATTTGACAAAAGAATCATTTTTTAATTACAAGGAGCCATAACTGGAAATTATCAATAGACTATCAACAGAGTTAGATTTGAAATTCTAAGAAAGAAAATGACCTCCTATAAATGTAACTCTGTTAAATCAGACCTCCCATTTTATAAAGAAAACAAATTAACCTTATTATTGTTACTTGCCTCTCTATTTCCATGATCACATTGTTCCATTTAGCTCATATATGAAAACTCATGCTGCCATATTCAAAATATATGCCATTGGTGGCCAACTTCTTCTTACTGGTTCTATATATTGGCTGACCGATGTTGTCCTCTGTAATATCAGATGCTGTTTCTTTACACTTAACCATTTCTATGGCTTTAGCAATATAAGCATCATTACACCACCTACCATTCTCATTTGTGAAGCCATGGCAACCTAGAAACAATACACATTTGGTGATTGAGATTTGATGGAATACTGCAATAGCACGCAGTTTATTCACAAGCCTGTAAGGCACTGGCTATCTATCCAGGTGGCAGCAGGAAGGCACTGGCAATGTCATTAGTGCCTCAGAAAAAAACAAACATATAAGTTTTCAGAAACAATCTTAACTTATGTCTTTAAAGTGATTATGTTTTGCTTGTAAAGCTGCATGCTGATGTACGTTTTCAAATGGATGGTAGTGGTGGGGGGGGGGGGGGGGGGGGGGGGGGGGGGGAAATGTCTGCTTTTAACCATTCATAAAATTAAAAAAAAAATCTGTTTTTAATATTGATTTCTGTTTTTTTTCATTTGACTTAACATTACTTTTAATATAGAGAGCTATTGCAATCCTTTAGTGTATATTAAATGTGATCCCCCCCACAAGATTTAAATTTTCTGTAATATAGTAAAATATTGCAGCAGAAAAAAAAACAATCTCTGATCGAGAATTCCATGAAGAACGCATTGTTTTGCACTGACAGATTTTTATCGTATTACATATTTTCAGTTTTTTAACCAATAACATTAGATGCTTTTAGTTGAGTTTGAATGTGGCAGGTTGCCAGTAATTCTAGGGTAGCATCTGCATATCCTTTTCTCATATTTTAGCTGTAATGAATATCATTTTTGCATACTGTTATTATTTTTCATTATGGTTTGAGGCACTAAGAGAAATTTAAACACATACGGTTCAATTCACAAAGCTAGCACAGCAAGATATGGATCCCCTTCTTAAAAAATGTGACAGTTATTTTCAGCTCCAATAAGATTTGAGAATTGCAGTCACATAGCTGAAAATAAAGATCCTTATCCCTGGGTTAAGAATTTGTCAATTGAGCCTTTGACTGTTATCGGAAACAAAATCAAACTGACGCATGGCTCAGTTGTGTCTTAGTATTCTACTGTATGTTATGCATACTGATAACTGCTATTGATTCATAGAATGGCTAATACGAATCATATATTTAAGTGTACAGAGGTAATATTGATGGAAGCAGGTTTATTTAAAATGTACTGTGTACCATTAGATTTTTAGATATAATCTGCAAAAATTATTTGTCTATGTAATAGGAAGGAACATATTGGTACACTAGGGGTATCAACATTTTTGTATAATAAAAATATGTTTGTATTGACCTATTGTCAATCAATGTTCTGTTTGTCTCCAGAAGGTTTTCGGTGCAGAGGTGTGCTCGTTGCCACCTTGGTATCTCAGCTTCAGAAATGGTTATGAGAGCGAGAGAATCGGTCTATCACCTAAGCTGCTTCACGTGCACCACTTGTAACAAGACCCTGAGTACAGGAGATCATTTTGGCATGAAGGAGAACCTAGTGTACTGCCGTGCTCACTTTGAGCTCTTGGTTCAGGGAGATTTCCACCCACAGCTTAATTACACTGAGCTCTCTGCCAAAGGAGGTGGGCTGTCTGCGCTTCCATACTTCACCAATGGAACAGGGGCAGTGCAAAAGGGGAGGCCCAGGAAGAGGAAGAGCCCGGCCCTTGGAGTAGACATCATCAACTATACTTCAGGTGAGCCTGCTTAAAATCTTAACAGCCCTTGTTATGCAAATCTCAGAATACTCAACAGTAGGACTCAAGCACATGGCCATCCTGGGCAGTGCAATGTAAAGTTCAGGCATACTGTATTTGCCCACTCAGGAGCAGCCCTATAGGCAAGACAAGGATGTATGTGGATATATGTTGGTACTTGCCTACAGACTTAAAACCCTGAATACAGAGTATCTACATTTGAGGTTTTATTTCTGTATGCATGTGTTGGTTTACACATGTACCAGCATAAACCTGCATACAGCCATTCACTCTTATGGGGTAGCTGTATGCAGCACCTTTGGCTCTCGTGCAGGAAAATATGCCCAAACATTGTACTGCCCCATGCGCCGACTTGCATAAGCTCTCTTCTGTTTATGAAGGTTTGTTAACAAAACATGTCTGATATTTACACATGATGGCTCATTGGAATTAAAAAAATGTGCTGCACAGGGGTATATTTGAAATGTTCTATTTTTTTTTAAGAGAAATTGTCATAAAAGAAATATGGAGGCTGCCAATGCTGACATCCATTTTAAAATGCTATTTGCCTGGAATTTGTCCTTTTGGCTTCAATACTGTTAGTCACTGACCCAGAACAATTACAGAGATCCGGAATATCAGAAAAATTTAGAGGCCCCAATCTGCATAACAATTTGGTGCAGTGACTCAGAGTATTGAATGCTTTTAGATGTCTGTATAAGATATTTGTGGATTAATTGTATGTACAGTATATTGAAAGTACAGTGGATTAATAAAGAAAATGAGTTTACTACATATGGAGTCAGTTCTATTTGAGATTATCTCTTGGTTGTTCAAATTCTGATTTCTATGAGAATTCTGATGTTCTACAATTTATACGTATCCCCTGTGTACTGTATATGGTGTAAAATCCCAAAGTTTGGAAGCAAAATGATCAATATGACAACTAGGCAACTATAATTTTCAATATAAAAAACGGTAATCAAGCACTGGGAAAAATAATATATAAGCTGCTAGCATAAAAGGCAACCTCAAAAACCCAATAATAGAAACATAAATATATAAATATGCAGCACTAATAAATAAAATAAAATAATAAAAATTGCACTATATCATATTAAAACAACTGAGTCCATTATTAGTAGTACAATGAAGTGTGTGCAAGCATTAATAAATCCATAATAAAGGAAATCTGTGACTCTTGTGCTCGTGAAGATGGACAAACATTGCACTAACCATAAACAGATTAAAAGAACGAACTTACATCCGGATCCAATATGGCCGCCGGCTGTCATTCAGGATGGCCTTACCAGTAGTTAGAGAGGTGGCCCTGACTTCTGTGCATACACCGCAAGGCCATCCTGAATGACAGCCGGCGGCCATATTGGATCCGGATGTAAGTTCGTTCTTTTAATCTGTTTATGCTGGAATTTTTGTGAAATAAAGACCTACTGCACTATTGGAGGCTTTCTCTGGGCTCATCATTCCCTTGGGAGCCTGTTTTTGAAGGTTTTCTGTAGCCTGGATTGGTGTGTGATCCTCCTCCTGGTGGCTGTGACTGGCATATTTGGAGACTAGAGGGTATACCTAGATGGATGACACCTAGTGGCCTACACGCTGATGACACCTATCCCCATGGTATTACACGTCCAGAGTACCAGGAGCAGGTCTTATTTGCTCCACGCACATTAATTGCGCTATCTGGTTAGTGCAATGTTTGTCCATCTTCACGAGCACAAGAGTCACAGATTTCCTTTATTACGGATTTATTAATGCTTGCACACAACACTTCATTGTACCACTAATAATGGAGTTGTTTTAATATGATATAGTGCAATTTTTATTATTTTATTTTATTTATTAGCGCTGCATAACTATAATTTTCAAAACATGTGGTCACCTAATGCAGCCTCCATGTTGCTCTCTTGCAAGGTTTTCTTTAGTATTAACCTGGTATAAAACTGAACTCCAGGCAAATAGCTAAATACACAGATGAAATACATATAAGGGAGCTGTCTTTCATGCCAAAGAACTTGTATTTCTGTCTATCTGGATCTGAGATTTATACAGCCCTGGCACACAACACTACCCTGTCTCACAGACTAGGAGTCCTGATTTTTCTTTGCAGCTGTTAAGTTACACTTGTAACCATGTAACTGGACAATGAAAAAAGAATCAGCAGACTGTTGAACTAAAATTTGTCACTCTTCTCTCTCTTGCTATCATCATCTTACTATTTTAGCATGGAAGCATTTTAGCACAACTGATTGGTTTCTTGTGCTTTTTCTCCATCCCCTAGTCTGAACTCTTGTTTCAAGGAAACTGGAAGAATGTGATAAAAAGTGCAATTCATGTGCTTACATTGCTGGTATTTAAAGCATACATTTAAGGATGATAATAATGAATACTGAGCGGTATTATTTGGTGTTGTTATCTGCCTGGAGTTCGACTTTAATTTACTTAGTTACTTTCTAGAGCAGCCTTTCTCAACCTTCAAAGGATATGAACCCTTGAAATAACGATCTGGTCCCAGGGAATCCCTGCTGGTAATTTCTATATCTTTAGCTCATAGTATATCAGTGTCATGGTCAATGTGGAGAATGCTTCTTACATTTGGGGTCATTAGGAAGAACCCCCTCTCCCCTTACAGATAGCTAAAAAGATCATTGGGGTTAGTGGTTACTTATCTCTGAGGCAGAAATTGTTCATTGCTCAAGGAACCCCTTGAAACCTTTGGAGGAACCCTAGGGCTCCTTGGAATCCTAGCTGAGAATAGCTGCTCTAGATGCCACATGACTTTTGGTTCCTTGTAGCAGGGGCGGACTGACAACTCATGGGGCCCCCAGGCAATAGGGGATCATGGGGCCCCTGTGTCCTTGCCCAAACTCAAAAAAGCCTATGAAAAAAGGACCAGGGGCATCTCATGGGGCCCCCTACTGACCCCGGGCCCTCGGGCAGTGCCTGAGTTTCCAAATGGTCAGTCCGCCCCTGCCTTGTATGTAATCCTGTCTTATAAGCATACTAAATATCTCCTAACCCATATGTTAATATGTGCATATGTCCAGGTGACAGTGTCATAGAGTAGAAAAAAGCAAAGCAAAGCATATTTTAGTATATATTCACACTTTTCCATCTTCTCTGAAATCTGTACCTGTAGCTGAAACTGTGTATGAGTTTCCAGATATAAAGGTGCACAGACCCCGGAGCTTCTGACTGTTCAGTGTCTGCACAATGTTTTAATTAAGTAATCCTCATGCACACTGGATGTTTTTACAGCTGCTGTTTTTAGCTTTTGACATTTTTTACTACAGCCAATAAACTCCCCAGCATGTTATCCTATGTGTCCATGCACACATAGGCTTTAATCAGCGTTTTTTGGCAGGGACGTTTTTTGGCTGGAGAAAAAACCCAGGACTAGTGGGTTTCTAGAGGAGTTTTTTAGCTGTAAAATTGCTCTAACGCTTGGTAAAAAAAAACCTCTAAAAACCGCAAACGCAAAAAAAACTGGCAAAACGCCTCTAAAAGCTAATACAAAAATGCTAAAAAATGCTGAAAAACTCACGTTCTTAACGTGTCTTTACACAGCTAACGTTACCAGCGTTATTGAAACACCCAGTGTGCATGGAGCCTTAAAACCTATGCACCCATGCAGAATAAAGAATTGCACACTAATATTAACTTGGACATGCAATCTACATATCAGTCATTTTAAACTGTGATCTGTAAATTCCAATTACCACTTTCTCAAAGTATTAATTTCTTTTTATCAATTTTATTATTTTAATACTACCCATGTAAGATTTATGGTATATTTATACCAACAATATGGATGTAATTGCTGGATATAAAATTATTTAAAAAAGATCATGCAAAATATCTTAACAATAAATTCAGCACAACAATAACTGATACAGAGGGCTTTATTTACTAAAGCTGGAGAGTGCAAAATCAGGCTCACTTCTTCATAGAAACCAATCAGCTTCTAATCTCAGCTTGTTCAATTAAGCTTTGGCAATGAAACCTGGAAGCTGATTGGTTTCTATGCAGAAGTCAGCCTGATTTTGCACTCGTCAGCTTTATTAAATAAACCCCAGCTGATCTGATAGACTCTGGTGTACATCACTATGTGGGGCAATACTGAACACAATTCCATTATGTTGATAATTATCAAACAAATGCTGCCAGATCTGTACCACATCCAATAGCAAACATCTAACCACATCAACAAAATATTTAGAGGATTTTACTGGTACCCAGACAAGACACAGTTCTTTAAATTATAATATTTTATTTACAACATTGTTAAAAGAATACCAATTAAAATATCAGGGAATGTAAGCCCTGGTAAGCATCCGCATTACACAGAAAGTATCAATTGTACATAAATTCAAGAGTAGCAAATCAATAGGTCAACGTTTCACAAACATGCTTCCTCAGAACCTTCTCGTTGCTTTCAAAGAAGAGTTACCCTTATTTTCTTCTTTGCTCTGGAGGGACTGTGAGTGTACATGTTATTGTTACTATCTTATACTAAGAATTGTTATGAATATGTATATATCTAATATATATTTTTTAGTCAAGGTACTCTTCTATGAATGCAAAGATAAGGTCCTGAGGAAACTTCTTTTGTGAAATGTTACCCTCTCTTTTTGCTATTCTTGAAGTTATATACGATTGATACTCTCTGTGTCCTGAATATGTAATTTTACCAGGACTTACATTCCCTGTTCCTTTTATTGTTATTCTTTTAACAATGTTGTAATTAAAATATAATTTTTAGAACTTGTCTTCCCTGGGTACCAGTAAAGTCTTCTATTATGTTGACATCAAAAGTTTGGACTCGGCATCATTTTTTTATTTTGTATTTTTTTATTTGCTAGTTCAAAACAATTGGCTGGGCTAGGCTTGGAGGGACCAATATGTCTTTGCTATAAAATAGGTGACAGCAAATTTTTGTGAATCAATAGGTCATTAGTGTTACATACATACATGGAATTGGGATACAGTAGAGATG